AGATCTAAAATGTTTCCCCATTTTTCAAAAGCAAAATCAATATAAAATGTCTCGTATGCTTGAGTAGCGGTGTTATGTCATGACTGTTATAACCAATCCAATAGAGCAAGGAAACATTGTAAAGTAGGCTTACAATAAAAGCAGACTAAGATCAAGAAACAGTCATCCAACAGCGGGGAAATTTCAGTGTTGCAAGTTACAGACAGTAGGCATGAGGAGCACACAGCACTAGATTAAAAATAATTATAATCTCTAACTCTATCATAAAAAGAAGCAGTATAAAATCTCTTTCTTTATCATTATATAATCTACATCTTTAGAGCAATTAAATCTCATCTTTAGCATAATAAAATCTCTATCTTTAGCATATCAAGAATGCATTCCTATTTGTTGTGTTTATTGAACTCAATCCTTTCCCAAATACTTTTCCACTATATCTACCTTCCACAGAGTCACTGACACGTGTAATCCTCTGATTATTATACATTTTCCTCTCTCTGTCTACTCGGTCAAACATCTTAAGCACAAAATGACTTCTACGTCCTATAAAACTTGACACCAATTTCTCGCGGCACACTGAAACCCCCAGACAAGTGGAGTAATACACTGTAGTTAACGCGATAAGAACCAATATGTCCATTTTGAGACAGGCGGCGGGCTCCAGTGGGACAGGAGGCCATCGGAGCGTATATGAAGGGGCTGGTCCCATGAGAAGCAGCCCCTAACTCCCCTCCCCCCTCCTTTTATTTTTTATTTTTTCCTCTCCGGGGGCTGAGGTGGTCCCAGAGGCGCCTGGCATGATTACAACACGCAACGTTTTTAACAGCGTCTCAAGGCTATCTCTCTAAAAGGCAAGTAAAAAAAGTATCTTTGAAGGATGGCCCAGACCTTCTTCAATGACATGGCATTTTGAGGTTTGGCTGTGATCGCGGCGGGAGAGTTGGAGAAAATAAGCATGTGATAAAAAATCCACCAAGGGAAAAAAAAGCGCTTGGAAATTTGCCTTGAGCTGAAAATCTTCCTTTGTAATATCTTGCAATCAAAACAGCGCAACAGAGATTAAAGATTATGCAAGACAATAACTGTGGATTTGAAAGTTTACGATATCAGGGCAAAGCGGTGTCATTTTCACAAATACTCTATTACTTTACGTGTTATGCTTTGTGCTGAGGCTTAGGAGCTGGTTTGAGGACTATATAAGAATATACAACTTTTAAAAAATCACTATAGAGAAATTGAGCTATACAGCAGTAATTTTGAGAAATGTGATTATGTTTTAAGTTGTGACATTTTAGATATTTTTAGTTGTGACATTTTAGACACTCGAATCATATTTATTTTCTTCAGCTTTCATCAGTTTGACAGAATAAACTTTAACCTTACAGCAAGGTGAAAACATGTCATAAATACGGAATGGCTTATTTTAAGTTTTAACATCTGTTTTTGGGATAATTAATTGCAGGGATTAAATTAAATATACATATTGGGTTTACTTTACTTTCCCTACTTTCTCTGTTTTGTGTAATATCTGCTAAACCTGGTGCTTATTTTAAAACCTGCTGAACAATGTGGAACTCTGATGCTCAAATAAAATAAATAAATAAGATAAATGTGTATTGTTTGTTAACTCTCTGAGTGTACAGTTGAAATGCCCCAAGAAAATCTTTTTATGTTTCATCCAACCAACAAAAAGACATGATATAAGTTAGTTTGAATATGGTTTGATCTTGAATATTTCAGTCAGTGCAGTGTTTGTGCATCTATGGCTTTCATAAATGCGTCTCACTGCAAAAAGTGATGAAAAATAGGTCAAAAATTGCACAAATTTGGCAAAGTGTATCTTAATTTGAGCAGATTTGGACTGCCTTAAAACACAATTTGTCAATAGAACAAAAAAATGTATCTTGTTTTAAAAATATAGGAATGAGGAAATAAAGAAACAGTTCTTGACATAAGACTAAATGTTTAAGACAGTCAGAATGTAATCATTTGGAAACCACACAATTCAAACAACAATTACCACATATTTTATAATTTTTTTTGCAGTGCTGTAACTTCCTTTCTCGAGACAGAACTTAACCAAAAAGCACACTATTCCAAAAGCACAATCGCATTTTTATTCTCCGTTTCCAGAGTCCACATTTACCCACTCGAGCTCACCTGGTGCAGGAGGGAGAGCAGCAGAAGGGATTGCGTGGCTCTCATCTTTGAGCGACCCGGGAGACTATTTCACGACGAAGCGCTCTCAAATCCACCCTGACGGCACATGGCGCTCGAACATCGCTTCTTGTTTTTCACCTGCAACAAACACAACACATCATTCTCCCACTCGCACGCATCCGGATCGACAAAACAAACTTTTTTTCTTATAAATACACATCACGCACCGCTTCAAATGGTCCAACTGCACACCGGGGTAGTCTTGCACAGTTTTTCCAATGTGGTTTTACTGCAAATGGCAAATAAATTCTTGAATCTTGAATCTTTGTTACTCATGCTCCCATCCCGATCCACATCCCAGCGCCCACAATCCAAGTTTTTGTCGTTTGTGAATAATACTCCTTAGAAAAAGTGCAGGGACTATACTTTCTGATGGGCTAATGCAGAAAAAATGGCAGATAAAGTTGCAGATCTTAGCGTTGGAACGTGTCTCATCCCTCGCTGCTCATCTGTGTGTGGACTCTCTCGCTCTCCTCCCTTTTGCGCGAGATTCTCCGAGGTCTTTACGCGCACGCACTCAAGCCGCTCTGCCGTCTCCAGCCGCTGTTATCCCTCTGTCTGTCTGTGCGCAGGGGAGAAGGCTGTGGCAGGTTTATTTTGTGTGGCTTTGTTAGTAAGTGTGGTAATGGAAGGATAGAGAGGGTCACGTGAGTGCGTCTTCTGTGCCATATGGAGCCAGTTTAGTTTTCAACACCATTACGCGCAGGTTTTGAGTGTGAGAAATTGCCACGCACTAAAGCTGGGGTACCTAACTTCCAATTCATTCATTTTCATCCCTTTATTATCAAATTTTCTGGACTTTCAATTCAATCCAATGTATTTTTATTTATTTTTTGCCCTCAATAACAACAGTGGTCATCTCGAAGGACTTTACAAAGTTGTTGATTCGCCAAAACAGATCAAACCGTTCGACACAGAAAATAATAATAACAGGTGGGGGTTCATTGGGAGCGGATGACCAATGTCCATAAATGTTAATAAATGTCCTTAAATGTCCCAAATCAAAGTTCAATGTTCAAACCACTAAACATGGCCCCCACAGTTGGGTTCCATCACTATAGTTTTGTTTTGCGTGGCACATTTTTTTGGCACAGGCAAGTCAAAACCAAAAACAATCAGGGCATCAAGGCATTCAAATCATAAAAAATCACAGTACAATTAAAGAAACAGGGCAATTCCTTTCCAGAATGCAAACGATGTCATGTTGTCTAATAAATGTGAGACAGCATTCTCTCTGTTGGGATTTGTGTGTAATTTATGAAACACTGAAAGTAAAGTACCCCAGCTTTAGTGATGTAAACAGTATTTATGTATTTTGTTTTAGATCTGATGTGATGTGAGCTTGTAACTAAGAACAAGTTTTAGGATTCACGAGTGTAGAAAATGTGTGGGTTTCATGTTTTGTGCATCACCTTCTCTGTGTGTAAAGTTATTTAAAAAGTGGTTTAAACAGAGACAATAAATGCAATGTCAACTATAAGAACAGGGGATTCAAACATTTGTTTCGAAAAAAGTAAATACACAATTCTCACTGACATGTGAAGAGTCTTTCAGTGTCCAAAAAAGTGCTGTGTAAAAACCAATGGATTATTAACGTCCCCGATCCGTTATTATAATAGATCCATGCCCCGATCCTACACTGCGCTTTACTCTTACATCTTTGGGAGATACCCATGTAGCTCTGGTGACATCTAGCGGTGAGCTGGAAGCAGTTCATGTGAATTATAAACAGAAGAAGAACCCCTACCCTATACTTTCATATTTACTGTCTATGCCCTGTACATATAACACTTAACGCAGACCTTAAAGTCCTGTGGTCTCGGTAACTACAAAGAAAGGCTGAAACTGACCAGTCAGAGCAAGCATCACTCTCCGTAAAATTTATAACAAATAGCTCTATGTAATCTTTGGGTTCCCAAACGTTTCAAACAGACTCGCGAGCCCCACTGAAGAATAGACTTTAAAGTAATAATACTTTGGAATAAAAAAAAAAGCTTAAATATGAGTATTGTTTATTATTCTCTCCCATTATCCCCCTGCAGGCCCAAAGATAAACAGATAATAAAATGGTTAATGTCTTGTTTTGAGTAATTTAAGCTTTATTTTATCATTAACTGTAGTTAGTTATTGATTACTGTAGTTAACTTGATTTCAGTGATTTCAGTGTATTTATCTAATCACATTTGATGTACTCATGCAGGAAGAAGATACATAAGATAATATTACCCATATTTTGTTCTTGTTTCAATAAATCTTGACAGATGGAAAAATCATGATCGACTAGCAGATAATTTTGTTTGAAACAAGCACATTTTTGCAGTGAATGTAGTTAAAAACAAAATGTAGAAATGTCTATAATCGCCAATCTTTTCTGCTGACCCCCAGCTAGTGGCCCCCAATAATGTTTAGAGATACATAAAGAAGGATTATTTCCAGTGCAGTGTATCCCACCAATGTAAAGACCAAAATAAAAGCCATATGAATGAGTAATATATAAAAACAGACACAGATTCATTAAACTTTATTTTGATAAAAAATACCATTCGACACAAAGACACAACTCAAGAATAGTGAGATTCGGTCATGTCCACTTCACAAACAGATTACACAGACCATTTCCTTACGTTACTGTAAACAATTAGATGCATAAAGCCAGCCTAAAGACTTTTTAAGTGCAATTATTGGTATATAAAAATGCTTGATAATGATTAGATAAGCTAGTGTCGTTAGCAGGTTAGTTTTAAAGGCAGTGGATGCTATAGCTTTTCTTCCTGTCTCTCTTATGCGTGGACCAGGATGCAGCTGAGGGTGCTGTTGAACATGACTTTCCCGTCTTTTATAGCGCTGCATTTGTTCTTCAGCAGATCCAAGATGGCCGCCCTTATCTCCGGCGTGAAAGAGGTGTGGAAGTCGTCTTTGGCCGTCATGAAGTTGAGCAGATCGTGGCCCAGTTTGCTCTTGTCGTTGAAGCACTCGGAGATGTCGTACTCATTGGGGATGGGGTGCTCGGCGTATTTCAGGCCCAGTTTTTCGAGGCAGGTCTTGATCTCAGCGGATGAACGGTACTCGGTGATGGCGTCGGTGCACAGCTCTTTCTTATGGGTCTTCCACAAAGTGTCCCAGCCTCCGTTGGCTATACGGAAAAGACAGCAATCCAGACAAATTAAATTGATTAATTGAGTGAGTGAGTGAGTGATGTTTATTTATACAACGCATTTTACAGACAATGTGCAACAGAGTTCAGATTTCAGTTATTTTTCCATTCACTCCACACACGGTGATGACGGAAGCGAGACGGTGAACACACTGGTGCATCAAAGCCCCCAATCAACACCATTCACTCACTTATTACTTTCAGACCTATTGTTTTAAGTGCTAGGGGAAACCGGAGCACACGGAGAAAACCTACGCAAACATGCAAACTCCACACAGAAAGGCCTGGAGATGCAGCCCAGTACCACATGGACCTCAGTCTCCGTCCTACAGCCTGAGTCCTGGGTCTATATATCCTGCCTGTCTGTGGGAGTGGATCCATCTGTCAAGTGTTTTTACTTTTCCCCACTGGGTTTTTTAGTCGTTGTTGCGGATGCAGGAGGGGCTAACGCAGCATTGATCCAGGTAATTTATCAACATTCCGATGTTGTAATTCTTGTGTTTGAACAGTTTGATTCTCTGATCTGTCGTTGAGGAATAAACAACCTCATTAAGGCCGTCCAAAACCACCGCTGTTATGATTTAGGGCTAAAGAAAAGTACATTTAATTGGCTTTATCTGTTTTAATGCTGATAATTATGGCGGTATAGCATATTTTTTTGTATAGAATATTTTTGAAAAGGACTGTAATCCAACAAACAAAGGCTTGGCATATTTGCATGAATTGAGTCCGTATCATACTGTATGTTGGCTTTGCATTTTCTAAGTTGAAATCACAGAAACAAATTAACTATAAATAATAACATGTTTGGGGCTTGAAAGTCACAAAGGTGAAAAAAGGGGAAATGCACTCTGTAAACTTGAGCTTTGCAAAATGCAGCAATATTTTTGTTTTTGTTTTTTTTAGAGCTATTTTCTTATCTCACATTTGTTCATCTGGTTTGTAAATGTTCTGAATACATGAAGCAGATTTGGCATTGCAACAATAAAGGGGGTAAAGATATATATTAGCTATTTTGTCATGGATACAGAATTGCATTTATTATTAGGTAAATTATATTGTTAGTATTCACAGTCTTCAAATGAATAACACTCCACCCATTCCCTTTTTTTCCCCCAAAAAAGACTTTTCTCACATTGTAGCTGTGAGAAATGTGGCAGATGTGTGGAGACAGGTGTGGAGGGCCGATTAGATTAAACAAACTCTCATCTTAAACATCACTCACCTGCTTCTACAATAATCATGAGTCTTCCGTTCTCCTTCAGCAGCCCGTGGTAAAACTGAATAGTCGCTGGTAGGTCGTCCACATAATAAATCATCTATTAATCAAACAACATGGATTAGTTTTTGTGCAGTGCTATAGGAATCTGTCTGGGACACAGCGGCCGGGTATAACAACACAATTACATCACCATAGCAACAAGCTCAGGGCTGTTTTCCATAATGCAAACATCAACAGGAGATTCAGACATGTGCAACTATTTATGCACTGCCATTTAGAGTACCCAGTCATAAAGCTCAATGCTATTTTAAAGTAAATACTCATAACATTAAATAAGTGCAGCAAAAATGATGAAATATGAGGTGGTAATTGTTTGAATCAATTTGTTTTTATCTTATTTTGAGTACATTCTGACTGTGTTATAACAAGATTGGCTGATGGGACTAAGCCATGTATTATTATTTCAAGAACTGTGGGGGTACAGTATGTTCATGTATCTTTTTTTGTTTTGCTTGTCCCAGTGGAAAATCTTGTTTTAAAAGGTAGTTAGAATGAGCTCAAATTAAGACAAATTTTGAAAAATTAGCTTAATTAACTTCCATCTCTTTTTGCAGTGTAATTTTGAGAGTAGCCACATTCTCAGTCTATGTCCAGAGCAGAAGCTAAAAGGTCTGGCCCCATTTTCTAGTTCTTGTTATGTGTGAAGCCCCAAAAATGAGGAAAAGGAGGTAAATGAACAGCTAACACCAGAGCGAGTGGGAAGGCTCTTCTCACTGACCTAAAACTTCGAACAGATCCAAACGTCTGAAACTGTGGCTGAAACGTTTTTCAGATGTTTAATTAACAGTGACTCCATTGGTAGATCATTGGCCTCTGAGCCTGAAGGTCGATGGGTTTGATCCCACCATGAGACCTTCTCCATCAACTCCCACTGATGTCTGCAGTCGTTGTGTCCTTGGGCAAGACCCTACTTTGCCTGAAGCCCCCACTGAAAGATCAAGGCTGTGTCGTCACCGACAGAGCAGCCTCCTGGGACTCGCCTCCTGCAGGAGGAACAGTGAGGGACTGCCACACCCCACCCAGAAATGGATAAAGGGGAAGTAAATGAACGGATGGATGGAAATAATATTAGAATAATAGCCTTGGTCACTTTAAATGATCTTTGTATTGAAACTGTTTTTGTGGATCAATTTCAGTGTCAGTGGTTTTCTGTTTTGTTGTTTTATTTCTGTACCTTGTTTTATACAACACGTGGAGATGGACTTTTCACTGTAGCTTTATGAATAACCAAGATGGCCGCGCCCGGTGCTACCGGCGTCTTTTGGCTTAGGTAAAAATTAAAGTTTCCACTTATCAAAAGAGTTACTTGACGGTAAAATTGGAAGTATCGGAGGCGATGCCGCCAAAGAAAGGAACACCGGTGGAGACCGACATGGAGGAAATTCGCAAGTCGCTGAACAGCATGTCAGAGGAACTGGCTAAGGTAACCCTACAGCTGTCTAAACTCACTCAACTTTTCGAGGAAGTCAAAACGCTAAAACAGACTATTGTGGAAAAGGATAAGATTATCACGGATCTCGAAATACGAATCGACAACTTAGAGCAATACACCAGAATGGATGATGTTATTATCAGTGGGCTTAGTGTTAAACCCCGCTCCTACGCGAAAGCCGCTGCAAACGGGAGAAGTGTTGACGAGAATGCAGAGACCGCGGACTTGCTGACATTGGAACGGCAAGTACTGCGGTTTCTCTCGGATAAGGATATACACCTGGCCGCGGAAAATATTGCCGCGTGTCATACTCTTCCGAGAAGGGATAAGGCGCAGCCCGCTATTATACTGCGTCTGGTGAGCCGTAAGTTTAAAACGGAGCTATTGCGCCAAGGGAAAAAGCTGAAAGGCACAGCGGTGTATTTGAATGAACATCTCACTCAAAAAACGGCCCAGATCGCTCGTGAAGCTCGCATCATGAGGAAAAACAACAAGATCAAAGCAACATGGACAAGGAACTGTAAGGTGTTCATTCAGCTTAATGGCCAAGGTCCTGAACAAGCTAAAGTTTTGTTGGTGAGAGAACTCAAAGATCTTGATCAGTTCAAGTGATGCTTCAAACATCTTTTATGAAGGAAGATGAAACTGTCTACAATCTGGAACTTTTACCACAAACAGACTCATCCACGGACTCTACGTATTGGGTTCGTATGGATTATCTTCTATTGAATGACTGCACTTTAACTTGGAGACCCTTTGATTCAAAATGGATAATTACTTTCGATTTGTCTATTATGGATTTGATTTACTGCACGCAAACTCCCGGAACATTTGGATGACTACACCTCTGAAGATGGAAAACAATGCACTGCACTTAACTGAGAGGATAAATAACACAGATTACGTGGAACTGAGCACCTTTGAATTTACTGAGCATAACTCACAGGATATCGAATGGAATATTGACCCAGATAATAATTTTTTCTGCAGTATTGATAGCAATTGCCGTTACTACAGCGAAGAACAATTCAACCAACATATTAGATTAAAAGATAAGCTTGCAATTGTTCACTTCAACGCCAGAAGTCTCTACGCGAACTTCAATAACATTAAAGAATATTTACAGTCGTTTTCACAGTCATTCAACATAATCGCAATATCAGAAACTTGGAGTACTGATGAAAAAGGGATGGACTTTGAGTTGGAAGGATATGAACTGAGGTACACTAACAGAAAAAACAAGGGTGGTGGCGGCGTTGCCATATATGTTGTTGTATTAAATATAGGCTAAAAGGCGATGTGAATTAGATTGACCTGAAATTGAACTCTGTCTGTCTCCAAGCAAAAAGAAAGACCTTGTATTGCCCAACTCCCCTTGTCCCATTTTGTCCAAAGTGCATGGGTGAGTTAATGATAGTTAATCTGGGGGGATTCTGCTAATCCTTTCAAGTTGTGAAAGAAGGAGATGGAGTCCAGAATCTGGAGGAGAAGCCTTGAGATCCCTCTGCCTTATCTCAAAGGAACTAATAAATCGATAGAATTAGGGAGGGGTAGTGCGTGAATGATTTCTGTTTAGGTCTGGCGAGACGGAGAAGACCTGATGGAGGCCGGACCCTGGACCAAGAGCTGACTGATACGACACGCCCCCTTCTTCTTCATGCACATTTACTTATAATAACCTCATGCTTGTGTTAGTCTAGACCGGACCAGGGACAGGAGTGTGATTTGCGTGGAGCGCCCACCAAAATCATACTTTTATATTTTATATAGAGAATAAGGGATAGTTACTTTTGGTCCGAACAGCTGTTTTAGATTCTTTTTGTATTAGGGAAATAAACCTTTTTGAATTTAACTTCCTGAATCATGGTCATCTTTATAAGGGATTTTGAACACGTCATTTTTTAATATAATAATTGGTGACCCTCGACGTGATCCCTTTGATGACTTTCAACCTCTCCCTTGGACTCTGCATCTCTCCTCAAAGCGGCCGCTGATTTGAAGGTAAGCAGATACCTTTTGACTAATTAAAAATCTGCATATTGGACTACACAAATTAAGGGGAGAGAAGTTTTGTCCACGGAGGAGCTAATTCAAAAGTAAAAATAGTAAAAGCCTAAAAAGTAGTGAGAGCCTTGCGAAAATACGTTAAAATTAAATAAAATAGGAGTCTAAGTAGCTAGAACCCTGCGAGAATATATTAAAAGTAAAGATTTTTTGAGAAGCCTTGCCAGAAACAGGAAAGCCCGCTGTGACTAGCGTGGTTGACGGACGCGTCAACACACAAGTTAGGTTTAACCCATTGGAACCTGGGGGAATTTTGGGCCCCCCCGAAAAATGGAGACAGGCATTCCAATCGAGCAGCTATATAGAGAAATAGAGGCTCAGATTCTGAGTGGTCTGGATAAAAAATATAGGAACAAGGCAAAACGAAAGGCTGTGAAAGCATGGGAAAAAATACAGAACAAAAGGGTCATACCTGAGTATATGACAGCGTCCGCATTAGCTAGGATATTGCGGGAAGAGGAAAATAATCTAAAACAGGATTTAAAAGAGCTTGAGGGAAAGCAGGGAAAGAGTTGGAATGAGTGTAGGAAAATTAAGAAGGAACTAAAAAAGGCTGAGAAACTGAGGACCAAGGTACATAATTTTGCTTTGGCTGCCACGGCGTTGGCAAAATTACCGATGGTAAGTAAAGACAAGGAAACAGAAAACGGAGCAATGCCGGTGAGTAATATATACCCATCCCTACCCACGGCTCCACCAAAATATTCTCTAGGTTTAGAACCAGGTAAGCCAAATCTAATATTGCCACAATATACATTTTCAGGAGAAGTGGCGGTAGGAAAGAGAGGGGACAATGACTTTGTAGACAGTGAATTTGACGAAGGGACAAAACAGGAGTCTGTGGGGGACAATAGAGATCCGAGTCAAAATCCAGCTGTCAGCCTCCCGCCACAGCTCCCACACACCCCTCACCAACCCCCACCCATCCAAGAGGTGCAGGAGCTGCTCCTGCACTCTCTCAGAAATATTAGAGCTAGGAAACCGACCTCTGAATGCACCACAGACAGAGTTGAGGGAGAAGAAACCCCAAGTAGGACCCATGATTACGAGACCGCTAGACAGGAGAATGCAAAATTAATTAATAAAGCCGCACGCAGAGCCATGACTAGGACGGACAGTGAAAATGAAAAGGGAGACGGTGCCATGGCCCAGCCAATACTTAAAGCTAAACAGGCTAAAAAAGGAGCTAAATTCTCTTCTGACAGTAGTGATGACGGAGACCAGGAGCCTGGAGAAACTAGACCGGTGGCAAGCAGAACCAGGTCTCAGACAAAGTCCATGTTCCCTCTGAGACCAGGACGAGGCGCAGCTGGGGAGTACCATCCTTTTTCTGTAAGTGACATGCAGACTATAAAAGACAAAATGCCTCCATTGTGTCAGGGAGCTGGAAACTGGATTTCCAGTCTGAACACATGGTTTACAGGTCATGATGTCGCGATGGGTGACGTCCGGGCAGTGATGGCAGCATGCAGTAAACCATGGGAGAGAGATGCTATTGAAAGACAAGCTGGTACTGCTGATGTTTGTGATTCTTCCAGATT